GTGATAGCGATAGCAACATGCAAATCGACGGTAGCATTTAGTCTACTTCTACCAAACCGTAATTTGTTCCGTTTTTTAATAATTTATTTTTAGTAGGCGATAAATTATTATCGACATTAATAATTGGCGATTCAAAGATTTCTACTCAAGCAAATACAACTATCTTACATAATGCGAGCGATGATAATTTAATTAACAACGGAACCGATAAAACATCGAATAATCAGGCGATCGATGATTTAACGGTTGAATTGCAAAGTTTAATGGAAGCCAATGCTAAACTCCAAATAGAATGCAATAATGTGTTATCATTAAAAGATATCAATGATAAACTTCGTTTAGAAAATGATATGATACGTCTTGAAATAACCGAATTACAAAATCATCGATTACGTAGGTCGCTCTATCTACTTTCTCTCGGACAATATAGTCATGTTGTTTGAATTAAAATTTATAGATTACAGGGTGTAACAACTTGCTTGAAAAAAATTACTTTTCATTTTTAAAAAAGTTACGCTTTTATAATTTGAATTTACAATGAAAATTTGAGGAAAATTACTTTTTCGAAAATTCTCGTTAGAAACCTCAGACCAAAGGTATCTAAATTTAGACCATTATGTCTGATGAAGTTGAGACAAAAAATGAGCTGAGATGGTGAAGAAAATCAAGAATGATTAAAAAACGGAGCCCGAAGTCCCAGCAAAACATGCCCTTTCGTTTTGTACCATCGGCAGCCTACAGTTTCCAACAATAATTTATTCAGCCGACATAATTTCAAAGAGCACATCTCCCTACATATTTCAGAAAAGTCATTGAACAAACAGCCTATTCTAAAGTACCTGAAAAAAGTAAATTAAAAAAGTGAATTTTTTCTAAATCTTCTTCATTTTAAAATTTGAATATCTCAGCTAGCATACAACATAAACTAATTTTTTTTACCATTCGATAGCCAATTTAATTCTCTACAGCCGATATAAGATCAGTTTTTCCCAACAATACTTCCTTAGTTTGTTATAATGATAATGGCAATGTCCATTCAAATGGATATTGGGCTTTAAAGGGTTAAGATTATGTTCAGATAGATCAGCGGACATTTTATCAGAATAGCTGCATCTCTATATGCCGGGTTTAGTTTAATTTATATAAGTTCAGAGAACTACATGCTACCAGGAAAGCAAAATATATAGAAGTCGTGCAATTTTTAATCTCGGGGTTACTTAAAATAAAACAATAGAGAAGGTGACAGTAAGTCGATAATCATTCTAAATGACCAAAAAATGCACAATTAATGGGTAGTTAGTTACTCATTAATGAGCTATTTTTTCATTGTCCTGGGAGTCGGGTTTAGTTCAGTGGTTAAAGTGACTAATCTGTAAGACATAGGTTCAATTCCTACATCCCACGTTATTACTCTTTTTTTCTTTCTTCTCTATTAACTGTGTGTTGACCGTTTTTAAATGATTTACCCACAGTTAACTGTTTAAAAATGTCCTAAAAACTGTCTATTTTACGTAGATCGTTTTAACGCCGTAAATTGGTAGTTCAAACTGCTTATTTACAGCCAGTAAAGCGTCTTTTAACAGTCAAGCTTCTCGTGAAAATTCAATATATGAGAACACAGTTTTTAGGCTGTTGAAAACCATCTATTTACGGGGGTAAAACTATATCATCCAAACCATCAAAAAACCACCTAAAAACTGTCTGATAGGTCTAAAAACTGGAAATTAACTGACAATTAACTGGCAGTTAACTTGGTAGTTTTCAATGTCCTGGGAAGGAGGTTGAGTTAAATGGAAAAAAATCTGTTTCGAACCAAATTCTTCGTACCTGTGTGATGATATGAAGCAGATGTTGAAACAAGATCGACTGTTGGTGGACGAGCAGAAATGATTGACGATGATGGAGGAGCAAGAGAAAACGTATCGTCAACCGGAGTTGAACTAAAATCAAAAGAAAAACTCAAATTAAATATTTTTGATTAATAAGAGACAATCTATATTACCTTGAAATATCTGATAGACAATTGTCCATTCGTGTTTCTGTCGTTGTTGTTTTGTCGACTTTATCGACGACTTTTTTAGAACGAAAAAATAATAATAACATTGACGAACAGCTTCTACTTTTTTTTATTCTCAAGCACAAAGCATTTCTGAATAGGACGCGGATGGGCGTCGAAGACACATTTTATAGCACCTGAATCATGGCAATGGAAATCTGAGAGTTAGAAAGCAGATGGAGAGCGGCGTCTATAGCAAAAGTTATTTTTAGAGCTTTTTAAAAAATAGAAACATTTTCTTTTTCTTTCTTTTCTCTTCTGCGAAATTTTCTTATACTCTTGCTCTTCCTCGCTGGACTAAAGTAATTTGTCTGTCTTACCTTTTGATTCGCTGTTTTTCTTCAGATTGTACATCCGTCGACAATCAAACAAATACACACATTTTATAATAATAACAAAAACCAACATCGATGCAAGCAAAATAAATAGAAAACTGATTGAATTTGGTAATGATGATGTTTTTATTCTTGTCGTTGTTGTTTTCACAGTTGTTTTTTTTAATTGCTCATAATCAATTAATTGGGCTGTAAGATTGAATGGTTTTAATTCTGAGATATGTTGTGACAAATAATATTTTGCTTTAAATTCTTCTTCACAATTATTCAGACATGTTTTCTGTTTAATAGCCTATGAAGAAAACAAAAACAAGACGCATTTTAAGAATAAAAGTTGATTTTAGCACCCAGGATAGAGACCAACATAGACTATTTTTCTCAGCCTAATCGAACAAAAGTTCTGAGATCTTTCTGAGTTTTTCTTCCTGCAGTTTCTAGTAAAAATGAAATGCTTAGATCAAGTTAGTTGATTACTGGCCCATTCTGAGTCAAAGGTTTTTGCTAATTCAAATCAGTAGATTTTCTTAAGATTCGAACCGATGCGAGATATCTTTTATATTTTCAAATTGTAATAGAATTGCTCTTTTATCTATGATTAAACTTACTTCTTTCAATGACCCACAACATTTTTGAATAGCATTATACTGCAATTCAAGGTATTTTCTTAACGTTTGATTTTTATTGTTCATGTTAGATCTAGAATTAGAGAATGAGAATTAGGAAAATATTTTAATTTTTTAATATTTTTATCATTTTAAAAGTTTAAACAGCTTCTCGAGACCGAGAAAATTAGCTTAAACTAAAGTAATCCAAAGAGAGATACGTTTGGCTATTTTCTCTTTTTCATTGTCCTTTTGTTCAAAACTAAATATACAAAGCAACCTTTTTGCCGAGTTAGTGTGCATTTGTCCGCATATTTAGACTTCTATTTTCACTTGTAATAAACACACACGCGCGATATATTCAACTATTGTCGGTAAAAAAAAGAATGGACTCGGATATTTTTTGAATAACGTTTGATAGAAAAGTGGTAGATGCTTGCGGTCTTCACTAATCGAAAGCTAGGACCTAAGTGCAGCTTTTCACAATGAAAGTCATTTTCAAGATCTTTCCTTGAAGCAGGTTTTT